GTAACCATAGCAAGTCACGAAAGAGAGGACAACCAAATATTATTTTGGCTGGGTTTCTGGTTAATTAGGCAGCAATTTTGAGCGCGAATGGAATAATTTTTTTCCTAAATTGTTTTTAATAAAAACATAGTTTATTTTTCAAAAATGTTATTTTAACAAAAAAAAAAATTACAGGTTGTGTTTGGGATTCCGGACCAAATAAAGATTAATTAAAATTTAATTTAAAAAGAAAAAAAACCCCTAAAATCTCGTTAATTCAAATCGGAGCTATTCGTTTTTAATAAAAGTAAAATCAAACCCAATCAAAATTTGAAAATAATCATAAGCTCAACAGTTTAAACAACATGAAAACCCTGACAGAAGGTCAAGGTCGTCTTCTGTACCGCGAAACAAAAATAAAATGTGACAACCACCCCCGTCTCAAATCACAATCACTATCACAATCGCCCTATCAAACATTTCCTATCAGCCCTCTCAAATTTCAAAAAGATCCGAACTTTATTTTTCCTTTCAATTTTCTAAAACCCCCCGATTCAAATCTTCGCTGCAAAACCCTAATTTTGTCGGGAATTCTTGTTCTGTAGATGGGTTTAAGATTTCTCAAAGAATGGGTGCTCTAGCAAGTAGTAGTAACCACAAAAGAGACCACCGATATACCAACGACAACCTATTTTCAAATTCTCCAGATTTTCACATATCTAAAAAGCCCAGATTCTCTACTTTGTATCAAACTCCTGAATACAACAACCAAACCCTAGGTTCCTCTAACAGTATTGCCTCTAGAATCTCTAGGTACCCAGAATCAGCTACAAAGTTTCGCCGAGAGGTCCACGCCCCTTGTAGACCTCAGAAATTTGGCTTGTCAAAGAATAGAAGTGGTGATTTTAGTGAAAAGAAGAGAACTTTTGGTAGTGGTGGTGGCGATTTAATGTGGAAGTTTTTGAGTAAAAAGTTGGGTCATGCGAAACAAAGCGCGTTTGGTGCGATTAGGTATTTGGTTAAAGAGAAAGAAGTGGTTGATCTTGATAATGAGAGTGAGAAGATTGAGCAAGAAATTGTGTCTGAGGATTCTAGTATTGAAGAAGTCGAGGTCATTGAAGACGATGGAATAGAGGGAGGGTCCACGGTTTTGGACCAGAGGTTGGGAAGTGGGGATGTTAAGATTTTGGAGGAGAGATCAGTGGTTACTATTGATGGGGATTTAGGGGTGGAGGATGCAGGGAAGATGCTGGGTTCATTGGCATTGAATAATGAAGTTGAAGTTTTGGGTGTTGAGGCTTACAAGAAGTTGTTGATGAATACAGAGAGGAGGAACAGGAAGTTGACATCTTTGGAATTTGAGATTGAGTACAATGAGAAAAGGTGGGGTTCGCTTAAGGCCTTGCGGCCTGTGAAGAAGGAACCTGTAGAGGTGAGCTGTTCTCTTTGTTTTATTGAACTTGAGTGTCAGGTCTTCATACATTTTCTTGTTTGCGAAGTTGAGTAGAATCTGCCTTTTTTGGCAACGGAAGAAGTATCCTTCTTATTATGCCTAAATGTTTTTATTGTTTTTGGCCAATGGAGTGTTGTTCTACTGGGAAAAAATGATTTGGAAGGATGTTTATTCTTGTTTTATCCTATTAAAAGTGTGTTATACTTTCAGGAGATACCTCGTGAGCCTTTTATCCCTCTCACACCTGAGGAAGAAGCCGAGGTTAAGCGTGCATTTTTGCCCAACAATAGGTATATTTGATCTATATTTCCTTTTGATGTTTGAGTTGTTGATATTGCTGTTATAACATTATCTTGTTCATTCCTTCAGGAGGAGGGTCTTGGTCAGTCACGATAATTCCAATATTGATATTACTGGAGAAACTTTGCGCTGCCTTGCACCAGGAACATGGTTGAATGACGAGGTGATGTTTTTGGATTATAGTTTTTTCTATAGTTCTAGTTAGCAATATGTTCCCACTTTTTGTAGTTTGAAGTTGAATGGTTCATTAAGTGCAATGGTACTGATTAGCTGCTAATAAGGTCTTGTTGATAGGTTTGTGTTTTCTTCTTTTTGCAGGTCATAAATTTGTACATGGAGTTGCTTAAAGAAAGGGAAAGGAGAGAACCGAAGAAGTTCTTGAAATGTCATTTCTTCAATACTTTCTTTTACAAAAAGGTATGACTTTACTTTCTGTCCTTCAATCTTGTTAAACGTTAGTCTCAACGTAATGCATTGAAATATTAAAAATAGTACTCTTTTGGCAGCCATGGTTCAATTTTCTTGAGAATTAGTGAGGTTTGATTTGTCAATTTCGAGCCTGTTCCTCTGCTTTCATGTTTTCCCCTTTACATTGTTCATCTTTTTAATATGAT